CCTCCGGTGGTGGAATAATATACATATCAGTTCTGGGTTTCTGGCGAGGTATTACCCCATGTAACTACTCACCTCCCGTACATAGCACGCCTACCTCCTGTAGTATAACTGATCTCTTCATACCATACTAAGTTAATACTGGGCATTCTAGTGTCATGTTCGCAGCCCGCTCCTAATTTCTGGTGGGTAAGCTGCTATGCAAGGTTAGGGGTTCTCACTCTTGACTAATCAGAGTGCAAGAACTATATTACACACAACATGGATAACTTCCCTACATGTAGTACTAGGCAGTTGGCAGGATACGATGACGAATGACCAGTCAGAAAGGCGGGAGCCAGTCCAAGAAACTAGTGATGCGCTAAATGCCTCATCCGAACCCAATAAGCCGTAAGAGACGCTATCCAAGACCGCCTGATGGAATTTCAATCGTGTTATTGTACTATGCTTTATCGGACCTGTAGCAGAAGAAACACGCTCGCGCCCACAGTAGTTCAATATAAGTAGATAAAGTCCCTACCTAAATGTTTTCGTGAAAGCCCGAAAGTACGGTACTGTAGTTGAGTGGTGAAACCCCATACAAAATTTACCTAGCAACGGGGTTCTCCACTACAATATTTTATTACACCTTAACCACTCCCTTTTACCAATTCAAAAATGTTTAAAAGGCTTCTCCCAAGGGGTAAAAAAAAAGTTTGCCTCTGTTCATCGTTATAATTAATTGTGTTGTGGTTCTACACTTAGAACTTGGTTCCACCTAGTTTGGGTGGTAATTGGCCCTTCCACGAAATCTTTTGGGTAAGAGCTGTACCGGTACATACATGTACATACATGTACATATAGTGTGCATATAAACACTTACTGAACTACACCTAGCGGTGATTCACAGATAACGTGGGCAGTCGCAGTTTTAGATAAAAACTCTAAATTCATGAAACCCCATTTTGTCTAGTGATGCGTCAAGGGCTACCCTGACCTAATGCACTCTATGGCTTGACCTAAGCCACATTTAACCTATTCCAGAGAGCTGTGGCGGTGCTTGTTTGTTGTCAGGGAAACCTAGTGATGTTACTCACCTAGCAACTTGGAGACATCCTTCCGATAACGTCTGCTATCTTCCTAACCTCCTCCTCCTCACAAATATCACTATTTCTATATTTTCATAAGATAACCTTGATCATGAGCTCTCCCCCTAACCTACCTCCCCCCCGCAAGCCCTCCTCAACCCAGAATGCTGCGGCTGGACCTTATGGCCCCAGGAATAATCTTAATTCAACTCACGAACCCTCTTTCCTCGATAGTGTGGATAAGACACTTGAAACACCAAAATTTGGAACTACGCCGAGATTATTCGACTCTACGCCAAAATATGACTCTACACCGAAATTTGGGTCGACGACGCCCATGAAGTCTAACTTGGTTCCAATTCCCTACCGAAACCCTCAGGATCCTGCAAGGGCTCAACGTAAGTTCATCTTGCTAGTAGGCTTCATATGTTTACATCAGTTTCAATCCTAACTTGGTGTTAAGAGGTTCCAAAACCTTTCATATCAAAGGTTCAAGCCCGTACCGAAGAGTTCCTCCAGCCTTTGCCACTGAAAAACTCCCGTGAAAACTGGAGACAACCTACCACTATCGATTTAACAAACAAATCCGATGATGACAGCGAGCCTGTTGTCATCCAACGTCCTCAAGCATTTCCTACATTTCATTCTGTTAACCGCAGGAACGATACCGGATCAGGGATCACGGGTGGATTTCCTTCGGAAGGTGGTAGGAAGAAGCTACCTACATATTCTATTCCTAGCAGTGGAACATATCACGGCGGAGTCTATGTAGATCATGAGAAAACCACCGAAAGCATCAAGGAATTGCTGGAGGGGATTAATGACTCAGCTCCTCTTAGGAAGAAGAAGGGTAAAAAGGAAAAGAAGGTTGATGATGAACTAGCTTCTATGATGGAAGAAAAGGTTACCTTGGGCGAGGGTTTCCAGGGGGAAGCCGAACGAGAAAAAGAGGAGGAGGAGGAGGAGGAGGAGGAGGAGGAGGAGGAGGAAGAAGAAGAAGAGGAAGGCTCTGATGTAGTTGAGGGTTTGAACGTCAAATTACTTCCGCATCAAATCCGAGGATTGGAATTTCTTCGTGGCAGAGAAGAAGGAAATGCAAGAGGTGGGATATTGGCTGATGATGTATGGATCCTCGTTTCTATACCTGTTGCTTTCTGCTAAACTAACTATATACAGATGGGCTTGGGAAAAACAATACAAACTATTTCCCTTATACTCTGTCATACACATCCTTCGCATCAAATCGCCGGGAACTCTTCCCTCTCCCCAGACTCCAAGAAGGCAGCCGTAAAACTTCCGTCCGACCTCGAGAAAGGGACTCTTGTTGTTGCGCCTTTGGCTCTAATAAAGCAATGGGAAGCTGAAATTGAAAGACGCACCGAAGATTCTCATAAAATGCGTGTTCGCGTCCACCACGGCCCATCACGGGCTAAGGACCCGGCTTTACTACGGAAATACGATGTCGTTATTACTACATATGATGTTATCCGTTCTGAGCATAAGGATACCGAAGGAAATGGAAGACCGGTTGGATGTTTTGGGCTACGTTGGTGGAGGATTGTACTCGACGAAGCGCACACAATCAAAAATAGGCTTGCGAAAGGATCATTGGCATGCTGTGCTCTCCGGGCAAGATTCAGGTGGTGCCTTACAGGTACACCTTTGCAGAACAAGATCGAAGAATTGCAGAGTCTAATCAAATTCTTGAGGGTTGCGCCTTTCGATGACCTTAGTGTGTGGAAAGAGCAGATCGCAAGACCTATGGGTCAAGGTCGTGAAGGGGTAGCTATTGAACGGCTCAGAGTGGTATTGGGCGCTATTATGTTGAGGAGAACTAAAGACGTGCTGAGGTCAGATGGTGATAAGCTGGAGGCTGCCGGTGGTGAAAACAAGATGAAGATGGTTAAGAGGAAGGTTGAGAGTGTAGTCACTGAATTCGGTGAAAAAGAAAAGGAGTTTTACGAAAAATTGGAAGCAAGGACGGAGGAGAATCTTGAGAAGATGCTCAGCGGGTTCGGTGTTGGTAGAGGATTAGCAGGTGTCAATATGACAAGCGCTTTGCTCTTGCTTCTAAGACTACGACAAGGTATGTTCTCGCCGAGTAGAGCTAATTTCTCCCAAACTAACACATGCAGCCTGTAATCATCCAACTCTCGTTGCTGGGAAAATTGTTAAGGATAAGGATTCTGGGCTTGGTCTAACTACACCACGGAAGAAAGCACCAAAATCATCAGTGCAGGACGAAGCTCTGGATGATGATCTTGCAGGCTTAATTGGCGGACTAAGTGTCGACGCCAAGAAATGTGATGTTTGTTTCTCAGCATTGACCAAGGAGGAGACACGAAAGGGAGAACCTAGGTGTAGGGATTGCAGGGAAGATCTCAAGGCACTAGAAAAGGCATCAAGAGAAGAAGGTGGAGAGGAAAAGAAAGATGCTGGCAATGTCAAGAACAAAAGAGGCAGATTAGTGGTTCTTGACAGCGATGATGAAGAAGAGGACGATGACGACTACGGCAACAGTACCGGAGAAAAGAGAAAAACGATCACAAACGACGACGACGACGAGGGAAGCCAAGCAGAAGAGGCGGATGAGGATGAAGATGAGGATGATGAAGACACGAGACCCCGGCATTACGATAGCGAGGACAATGGGGGCAGCCAGGCGGAAGAAGGGACCGACACATCAGATGATGATGCTCCAATCAAGCCGAAAGCACGACGGCGCCCCAAAGTAGTCGATTCATTCATCGACGATGATGAAGATGAGGATGAAGATTACTCGGAGGAAGATGAATATGCTAGCCTTGTCATATCAACGAAAATCAAGCGGCTCTTACAAATCCTTAAAAGGGAGTTGAAAGAAGGCAACAAAACAATTGTTTTTAGTCAGTTTACAAGCATGCTGGACCTAATCGAACCCTTCCTCTACAGGGAGGGTATTGCGTTTGCAAGATACGATGGGAGTATGAAGAATGATGATCGTGAGGCCAGCTTGCGAAGGTTGAGAGGAGAGGGCGAGTACGCGAATAAGAAAGGAGTAGAAAAGGAATTCTGTGGCGTACTTCTGTGCAGTTTGAAATGTGGGGCCCTGGGTTTAAACCTAATTGCTGCTTGTAGGGTGGTTATATTAGAACCGTTCTGGAATCCTGTTAGTACACATACCCATTTGATCAATCATACTAGCTAGCACTAACTTATCTTTCTGGGATTTAGTTCATTGAGGAGCAAGCTATCGATCGTGTCCATCGTATTGGTCAGATGACAGATGTAGTTGTCTACAAGCTCACCGTCGCTAACTCTGTTGAGGAACGTATCTTGAAGCTTCAAGAGCAAAAAAGAGATCTTGCCAAAGCTGCATTTGGAGATGGAGACGGCGGTCTTGGAAAGGCAAAGGCTACGAAGTTGAGCATGAAAGATATTCTTTATCTTTTCAGGCGCGATGCGGAGACGGCCTCGGGACCCGGGTCAGCTTCCACGGCAGGATTAGGAAGTAGGGCAAGAGTCCTTAAGGATAGAGGTAATAACGATAAGGAGAGGGAGAGGGAAAGGGGTGTAGGATTCAGCCGTGAAGTCCCGGGAAGATATACTAATACCGAAACTGATGAACAACGTCAAAGGAGGAGGGCGGCAGAAGCAAACAATGCTTTTGGGAGGCGATAAATGTCACCGCGAGAGATGAACTTCAACTTTCTTTTGGTGGGATTGAAAAATAGGCTAGTAATGTTACTGTATAGAGTTAGTCTCGTTCCCAGCCTGTGTTTACTTCGATGTGGTCTGCTTGAAGTGCAACACAAAACAGTCTGGGAACGAGACTAGTATAGAGTATTAGATGTAGCTACAAGTAGAGTGTCATTGTCTCGTTGTCGATGGGCAGGATAAGCACATTTCAAGATTTTATACATTATATTATTGTCGTATTTGCTCAAGTGATATCAAGCCCTGATGGTCTAGTGGTATGATTCCTGCTTTGGGTTAGCTTAAATGCAGGAGGTCTCCGGTTCAATCCCGGATTAGGGCCTGTCATCTCTTTTTACTCCAATTATGGCTCGGGGCCACGAAACATTACCACGACATTTTGATGTGTTAAGATGGTTTTTTTTTTTAATTTCAAGCTGAGCCGCTCTTTATCTTTATAATAAGCAATGCCACTGAATATGATTTGGATACTTAGCCACCATACAAGTTGTGGCTAATATTTTTACTACCCAGGACGAAGTGGTCTTGTCCTGGACTCAATGCACCAGCCTGTACCGCATCTGTTAATCTATAAATCCGTTTCTACCGCCGTAATATATATATCAATGACTTATTAATGTGCATACAAGCGTGGCCTCAGTTGGATCGTGTTATGTATCTTATTATTACATGAATGCGTGTTGTACATACATAAAGAATGGAAGTGGTATCCGTCATTAAAAAAAAGGGGTATTTTATGGGAAAGAGGGCTTAGAAAAGGCGTACAAAGCATGCTGTCGACTAGACCCCTCCTCCTACTTCCTCGCCACTTTCTTCCCCCGCTTCAGCATCTTCTTCAAACCACCTAAGTATAACCAAGTGCAAATGAATACGACCGCAAAATTAAAGACTATGAAAGCCCAGAAAATACCAAAATTTCTCCAGTGATGCCTATAATAGATATTAAAGCCCCTCGCCTAAAATATGCATCTGTTAGTATGCACTAATACAAGCGTTACTGTGATTGTAATTATGGAAATAAAACTTACGAATTCGTCTCCATCAGAATATTGGCAAAACCTGCACTCATTCCCAACCTCCTGAACATATCCTCCAGCTTGCCTAATAAAAGCAGTAGTGTAGTTCTCACACGATTGCCCGGGTGGTTTCGGGATCCTCGCCAGTTCGTTCTCAGAGCATCTAACAGGCACGTCGTGGACGAGAACACCCAAGAAGCCTTCTACTAAGTAGGTGAATGGGCTGACGCGATATACGAAATGCCAGAATTTTGGAATACCAGCAAATGGTACGACAACACCGCAGAATGAAACGACGAAGAGGAAAAATACCGGCACAAGCAAACTGGCAAGGAGTTCGTTCGGCGAAAACGAGGCGATAGCTTGGCCAAAGCTGACATAGTATAGTTCAAACCTATTGTATCGTCAGCTCTGTGGCTCTCTAAACACGATAGAATAGCTAGGCCAAACTTACAGCATTAGTAGCATCCATGTGTACCCAACAGTAAAACCATCTCTTGGGAACCCGACAGGAAAATACCAGGAAACAAAAAACAAAGTTCCAGCTACAATCGAGTAGGGTATTTCTACTAGAATAGCAGCGATTACAAAGGCGGACCAATGATAGATTTTTGAAGAGCTTTCGCGGGCCATGAAAAGATCCCTTATATGCAAGTATTTGGGCTGCAACTGTTGAATAAGTGGTGGAGATATGGTGAGCACCATGAATACACTAAAGAGTCGAGATTGCATATCGATCGAAGTATTTCCAAGCTTGTAGAAAGTAAAGGCATTGAAAAGTCCTGTGAAAATGTGGAGTGCAAACTTTCCAATGACGTATTCCGGTGCTCTCCAATATGACACGAACGTTCTTTTCACAACCGCCAAAACCTGTGTGAACCAAGGCATAGCGAACTCACGGTCATCTCGGGTTGAAGAGTCAGCTCTAGAACGGCGATCTGAAACAATTTGTTCAATTTCACGTGCCCGCTCGTTGTATTCGTTAGAGTTCGACCAGACTTCACCCCAGTCTTTCTCCTTCCTATTGGGATCTCCAGCACCAATTGCTTCGAGCATATATTCCGCGGGGTTTTTATCTTTAGGGCACTTAGGCGCGCCGTTGCCTTCAAAATACTTGATCATCTTTTGAGAATCCTGCCCAAGCTCTCCGTGATAGACAACGCGTCCACCCTTCTTCAGGAGAATTAAATCGTCAAAATTCTCAAAAAGAACTGCACTCGGTTGATGAATGGTGCAAAGAATGGCCTGGCCCGAATCCGCGAGCTTCCTCAAAAATCGTATCACATTGAACGCCGCATTTGAGTCAAGACCTGAAGTTGGCTGCGATATTATTAGATTGTGGCCCTTGTTCGCTATGTGCCTGCTGATGGCCTACCTCATCGAGAAACATGAGAAGTTCCGGTTTGCTCGCAAGCTCCACGCCAATAGTCAACCGCTTTCTCTGCTCTTGATTCAAGCCATTACCCTGGGTTCCAACTGTGGCCCCTGCGAGCTCGTCCATCTCAAGAAGATGAATTATTTTCTAGACCTGATTAGCTCGAATTCCTTTGATCTCCCACTTTATTGGTGCATACTTCGACATAATCATACTTCTCCTCAGTAGACACCTCCTTTGGCTGTCTTAGTAAAGCAGAGAACCGTAAAGCTTCTCTTACAGTTGCAGTTGGCTCGTGAACATCCTGTTGTTCCGCAAAACCGGTAGCGCGAGCGAATGAGAGAGGAAGAGGTTGACCATCAACTAAGAAAGTGCCCTCAACCACGCCAAAGTTGATTCGCTGAGCCAAAGTATTTCTGAGATTTTGTTAGTAAGTTTTTGGTAAAAGGTATAAGAACCATACAGAAGAGTGGTTTTTCCGGCGCCTGATTCTCCCATCAAGGCAGTGAGCCTCCCAGGTTTAACATATCCTTGGACATCCTGTAAAAGTGACCTGTGTCCATTCTTGACTGGAATAGTATATGTAACTCCTTGCCAGGTAAAAATTGTATCGTTCTTTGCGACTGCAGCTTCCTCGGTGCGATTATTACTTTCCTCATTACCGATCCTGCCAACTTCTTTCTCTGCAGCCTCTTCATCAATGGAGTTACCCTTATTCATAGCATTCTCAATATGCGTTGGCGCTTGTCCTCTCTTGAATACGGTAACAGCTCCTCCACCCTTATTCGGCTTCTTCAATTCCAACCCCACTGCTGTCATAAAAACGAAGAAAAGCCAAAATGCTATAATAAATCCGATATTTCTCCATAAGTGGGATCTTGAATAGGTAAACTGCGATTGTATGTAATCTGCACCGTTCACAGTGGTAGATCCGGGCCGACCGCCTTGCAAAAGACAAGATTGATACTGTGGCTGAACACCAGGACCAACGGGTACCAGATACGGCGGTACACACTCTATCTCCAGGTTATAGAACTCATTGGCCATGAGAGCCTCAAATCCATACTGAATAGGATTGATCCACCTTATCCAAGAGAACCATGGATGCATGGATGAGGGCGGGATAAGATAACCTATGACAACATGAGTATAGATAATTCCATATCAGCATACTAGATTGGCTTACCTGTGTAGACAACCAAGGCCTGGATTGAGACACCAGTGATCCTAGTAGCAGCATCCAAGTTTGAAGAGAATGCCCCAAGCATTCTAAAAAACGAATACATCGACAGTGTAACAAAGAATATAATCAATAAACTGATGAAAAATTGGGAAGCGGTGCGTTGCAACCCGGCCATAAAGTAAATAACTATATTCCATATGAAAACCTGAATAAAGCAAAGGGGTAAATCAACAAGGACCAAAGCTATGGCATATGCGGATGGGCGATAAAATGAGCTATAACCGTTGTCAGTACATGTTATGTAGTTTTATAGTTCCTTGAAAGATAGGATCATACAAGCTCTTATGTTTCATCAAGATCGGAATAGAATCAAATGCCGCCGTAAGTTCTGCTAGAGCTAGCAAGGCGTTGAATAAAAGGGTAAAAAACTATTTTCAATGAGTCCAAGCCGTGTAGGGTCCGAAAAGTCACAACTTACTAGAACACCTCCACGAGGAAACACTCCGGCCGCATTTTTAGGCAAATTATAAAACAGAGACCCAACGATTAAACTTTGGAACAGAATTCCTCCCCATTTACCCCCCAAACTCAGTGGGTCACCTCTCATCACCTTGACCTGTCGCTTCGTGCAGGCGATAATCTGTTTAGGGAATGAAATTGTGTAATTTTTAGTTTTCGTTTCTTTTGACATCTCCTTACTCCTTTCCTTCTTTTGCTCCTCAAGAGTACTTTCGAACTCCACGATATCTCTCCTAGTATGCGCAGCAACTTCAGACGCAACATATGCAGCTTCGAGTTCCTCTGCCGTACGTGGGACTCTATCTTCCCACCCCTCTTGGATTTGTCGCTCGTGCTTGTCGGTGACAGAGGTCAAGAAATCTGCAGTTGTCCATCTAGGGGGGCAAACGAAACCCAAACTCTCAAAATGGGCCTTCGCATTCTCGGTAGGTCCAAAGTAAGCACACCGCCCTTCATCAATAAGAATGACTTTGTCGAAAAGTTTATATAAACTCTCCCCTGCCTGGTATAGTGCAACCAGGGTAGAAATGTTTGCCATGTTACTCAAAGTGCGAAGCGATTCCACATATTCTATTGCCGTGCTGGCATCTAACCCTTTGGTGGAATTGTCCCAACATTGGCAAGATGCTTTAGTGACTATTGCCTCTGCAATGGAAACTCGTTTCTTTTCACCGCCGGAGACACCACGGATAAGTTCATTCCCTACTTTTGTGTCCAGGGTGTGTTCGATCCAAAATAGTTTGCTGACGACACGTAGAAATTCGTTGACATAGTCTTTTCGAGTCTCGCCCTCCTGCCGGGAAGCCTTCCCGGGCGTACGTGTCTCAAGAGCGAACTTTAGAGTTTCCTTTACAGTTAATGTAGCATAATGTAGATCTAATAAATATAAGTTAGAGGCATGCTCCTATTGATGATACATTATGATAATAATACCTTCTTCAGGATTGTAAAGGACTTCGCCACGAAACCTTTTGGCCATCTCGCTACTGTCAACCCCACCATAAAGAACGTCACCCGAAATACTCTCATAGCCGTTTCTCTGGTTACCGACGACCTTCAAAAATGTCGAGCAACCTTTTATCATTGTTAGTGCGTAATTCAACCACTTATCAGTACGGGTTGTGCTCACCAGATCCTGGCCTCCCTAACACTAATAGCATCTCACCAGGTCTAACGCATCCTGTAAAACTATTGAGCAAAGTCCTGATTGGTGGTTTCCCAAGCCCAGC